GGGCTCGCCTGCCGCGGCGCAGACCCTCTGGTGGAAGGGTTTCCGGGCCGCTAACTTAAAAGGAGTCCTGGTTTTTGTGGCTTTCGAAATGCCTTTTGAGGTCTTAAGTGGTAAGGCATACGGCTGTCGCGCCTGGGTTTTGTGGCTTTTCTGTTTTACGTTACAAATGGCAGAATGATAAGACTCCAGTTTTGTGGCTAGGCTGCGCTGAAAACCGTCTCTTTGCTACATTTGAAAAAAAGGAAGACGTGAGAAGGTAGGATGTCCTGCGACCAGTCGTTGGTGATGCCCCGCTACAGCCCGCGGTGAAGTTTCACCAACTTTATACGTTTATGCTGGGTAATTTACCCAGGCCCCCGACACGGTTAATGGAGGCTGTAACTTGCAGTTTGCAGCATAGTTTCTCTCTCCATTGGCTTTGTCAGAAATGCAGGAAAGCGAATCGGGGCTCCCAGATGCCTGTAGCTGTGAAGGTTAAACGTTTGTTTGCAGATGCTGTAACCGGCGGCTCTGTTCCCTTCCTATTCAGTGAAGCGCTTTCAGGGGACTGTCTGGTTTCACAACTAGCGCTTTGGTTTTCAGTTGGCTAAGTGAAAGAACGTCCTGTTAAAATATCGGTGTTCGTGCAACAGACGCAAACTTCTACAGGCCAAGACAGAAGAGGTCTGTTTGCAAATGTTCGCACTTTCTCTTTGGCGTGCTATCGCGCGGCAGGCAGGGGATTGCTTGGAGTCGTAACTCTCATTGCCCGGCTCCTCTGGGTCTTCTTTCACAAGCCATTGCAGGTCATGACTGCAGGCGATTCCCTGTTTCGATACTCTTCTACCTTTTTTTGCAATGCATGTTTTATTCTACTTCTTAATGGATGTATGATAAGGTCCTTTCGCTATCCATTCCTACAGCTCTGAATCTGGCGCCCTGCATTTATACTTAATGCTGTCATTTATAGCTCAGGAGTCAGGTTTAGTTCCCTGGCGGATTTCCTGAGGGGACTAAGAGTGCACAGAGAGATGGCCGAGTGGAGATCCCCTAACTGTTAGTCAACTGCACTACTCCGTGTTCCTGATGCCTTCGGTTAACTTTTGCCCTTGGGGTAGCAAAGCCATGCTCCGGCTTCCTTCTCCCTTCTTGGCGAATGTAGGAAACTTGAGAGAATTTTTGTTTTCAATTATCAGTGTTACTTTGGTACCTGGACCCAGGACCGTCTGAGCAAGGGATTGCATATGTGACAAAGTATGCAGTTGAACAGCTCAGTTGTCAGCAGACAAAGTAAATGCTGTTGGAACCCTTTCTCTTTAGTATTGTTGCGTTTTATTCCTTGTATTTTATTTAGTAATGATTTATTCTGATTATACAGGTTACCCTTTCCCCACTGCTCCTCCTGTGGATCCATTTGCAAAAATCAGAGTGGATGACTGTGGAAAAACCAAGGGATGCTTCAGGTCAGTCTGAGATAAGAGTGCGGGTACCTTTATGTTTGCAAATGCCGACTGATTGCATTGGAGACACTGGTAAATGTTCCATATTCATTTTTAATCCATATCCATATTCATTTTAATAAATGTTTATCATTTAAGAGCATACTTTCTAGTTATGGACTGTATCATTTGAGGAAACTAGATTATTTAAGGATATACGTCATAGTTATGGACCTACAGTTATTTCATGTTTCTTGTCTTTTCATGAAGCACTTACAAAACCAGGGCTAGGAAGGTCAACAGAGTAATACCGCGTGTAATTAAGTGCTTGCCGTACTGTTTAAATACTATACGTTCTTACACTAGAAGAGTAATAATTGCAAACACTTAATTAATGGTACTTCATGTATAGCATAATGTGGTATGTTTTACTGCCATTACGCCAAAATGCATTCTTTTAGTTTTTTCTTGCAGAAACATAATTAAGTTCCATAGCAGGAAATTGCAAGGAAAAAGTACATACATTTCCAATTCCATTTAGGTACGGTAAACCTGGATGCAATGCGGAGACTTGTGACTACTTTCTAAGTTACCGTAGAATAGGAGCTGATGTTGAATTTGAGTTGAGTGCCGATACCGATGGCTGGGTGGCGGTGGGATTTTCCTCGGACAAGAAAATGGTAAGACGTGTACAGTTCTTCATGTTGACAGCGTGCACACATTTACATGCTAGGATATAAATGGTTTGTAGTTGATCTGTCAGAAACAGAGCGTATAAGGAAAAACTGACTGGCTGAGAACAGAGCACCTGTAGCCAGGGAGTACCTGTACCCAGGGAGCCACCCTGGGAGCAGAAGCCAGGCCTCCCAGAAAACTGCCTCATCCTTCCTAACACGTCCTTTTCCTTCTTCTCTGAGAATGACAACAGTATTTTGGTTCAGCTCTGAATGTCTAAATGTTATTAGCTTTTTGCCTTTTCATTAGAAAAGCCCTCAGGGATAAGCCAATTCACGTGGAAATGTCCTGTCGTGCTTTATGTCAGTGTTACTTGGACAAAAGGCGCATCAGCAACTAAATAGCAAGTAATTTTATTCTTCAGTACATCAGCTGACTTTCAGCGATATAAATATGGCTTTCACCGTTAATCTTTGGAAATATTTTTGTTTCTTTCATACCTGTGTGTTGTTCCAGGGAAGCCACAAATGTGTGACAAAATGACTCCTGCTAATTTAAACACAGATACTCTAGAAAGCAGTCTTGTTAAAATTTCTTCTTCTCTCCCTCCTGGATTTTATCGGGTTTGGCTTTATGCTTATTCCTATACTTACTTTTTCATTCAAAAGCTTCGCTTTTCATTGTGTTTCAGTGAGCAAAACAGGAGCATGTACTGGGCGAACTTTAAAAAACCTGAGCAATAGACGACTTCTGCAAAGATGTTTTGTCTGTGATCCTTGGTAAAATGCTTAGGATTAAAATGCAGTTCATAATGTAGGTGTTTGTATACAGAAACACTCCTGAGTGTATAAAACAAGACTGAGCCTATGCCCTAAATCACAAGGCAGAGGACAGGACTGTTTCTTGTACAGTTGTAAGCAGTAGTCTGAAGAAATGCAGAATTTAGACTTCCTGGGCTAAGACCCACAAAAACAAATGGGAAGACTCATGCTGGCTTAACGTTTTTATCAGACCCAAAACGAGAAATAGAAAGACAATGTGAGGGCAGGTGCTTTTCAGTCATTACTATGTATGTTTTAATATGACGCTGTAAATAAACACAAAGAAGATAGGAGTCTTTTGTGTCACAAAGAACAGTTCACGTCACAAAAAACAGTTCATGTTTTTAATGATGTTGTGAGGAACAGTTTTACAGCCAAATTTTGGGAAGAGTTTAGACACCTGTAAATGCAAGTACTCAACAGGGTTTTCAGGGTAGCTCAGCACGTTTAAGTATTTGGCCCCAAGCTATTGGAGACCGTGTTACCAGTTTGTAACTCTGATATACCTGCAGTAGATCCCAGGGTCCCGCCATCTGCAGCCTCATCAGCCCCTTGGAAGGCAGGCATTACCTTTCGTCCCAGACACACCAAGCAGCATGGTAGGTCTCAGCTTCTGTTAAGAAGAATAAAGTAAGTGTAAAGTAAAAGGTTTTGCTTCCAAATTTGCCGCATATGTGATCTAATGCCCATCAGTCAGCTGGACTAAACCAGCTAGCATCTGTCTTTCTCTTTTGGTCCCCTGCTGACTTCATCCTTTTTCATAACTTCCAGGATGTTTTGGTGTCCTGGGATACGGAGGCTGTAATGGCAAAATGACTCTGGGTCGAAACAGCTTGGCTGTGAGAAGTGGGCTGTGCCTTGGAGGCCCTAATCAAACTGGTGTGGCCTGGATAGCTACAGAAGATCAGGAAAAAAACCTATTTTGTGTCCTCAATAATTGTTTTTTTAAAGTCCTGTGACCTATTTCTTTGTGTCAAATAACACTATGCTTTTCCACGTGCAGGCTTTTGTGCCTAGGTAGGATTTTGTAATGTCATGCTATTAACTGAGATTCAGAATGCTTTTTTCTTTCTTTTTTAATTTTTTGTGTGACAAGAGCTTTATTTTTGCCTCTTTGTACTTATGAACGAGGGATTCGTGCTCAGATGTATAAAAATTCATCTTGGAAAATAAGTTATGGAGAGCACGGATGGGCTCAAGACAGAAGCTAGAAAGGTAGCCTGCAGCAGCATCGAGGTGCAGAAACTGTTGAAGCATGTGTTTTACCTACTTGTCTCCTTCGTCCCTCACTTTCGGCACATCTTTTACAAATCCACATAGCAATATTCCCAGAGAGCTGAACTGCACCTTTTTCTCTCCTTTCCCTATAGCAAAGAACTCAGAGATGATCACGCTGGCAAAACATCGTGTCTATCATCAGCATGACATATCAGAAAGATTAGCATTGAAGAAGTAGGACCTGTATTTAATATGGCACCGATACCTGTGACAGTGGTGTTCAGTAAAATGCCATTCAGCCAACTTGCACAGTGTTTTAATGGTTCTACTAAAATAGTAAGCCTTCTATGAGATAGTATTCCTAAAATTAATGCTAATCCCTGAGCGATGCAGCGCTCTACCACTTTGGCAGTGACCTTGCGTAACTCTTCCAGCAACTGGTTTAATATTTCTGTGAATGACCTCTACAAACAATTGTCTCGGACTTCCTTCTGTCCGTTGTTTCTTTGCTTGATTGTAATGCTTGGTGGTTGTTTATACTATGTGAAGAAGCACGTATCAATTATTCTTTTCTTGTATCTTATGGTGTTCTGTATTCTGTTACTGCATGCTGAATATTTTTCATTTTCTCTTAAGAGATAAAAGAAGTGATGTTCCCTTAAGTGAACACGAGAAGAGATTAGAAAAAAACAAACTGGAATTTATGCTATTATTTGCCCAGATTTAGTAGATTCATCTCCTCTATTTTACCAAATTCTATTGGATTTCCATCCACAATTTGATGCAGCGGATTTTGCATACATCAAGGATTCAAGACTGCCAGTTTTTACGAAGCAGGATCCCAGAACTTCACAAATTACAAAAGAAAACAGCCTTCCACTGATCAATTAATTGTGTGATGTCAGGGTGATATCATATCTTACAAATATGTTATATATGTTAGGTAAAATAACTCTTAGAAAGATCCAAAAGAGAATTCAGAGATAGTAAGGGTAAGTAAATATTACTATCCACTTCGTGCTGTTCAATCTGATTGAAGACCTATGGTTAGGGAAACAAATATTTGTCTATACATAACTTAGAAAGAAGGAATGAGAGCCCCAGGTCTTGATTAGTTTTTAAGAATTAAAATTACATACATAAATGAGGAAATGCTTTGTGACACTTTTGTTTTCCTTCTACCGATGTGT